TACACCTGTCAATCATGCGGGGGAGGGGAGGGGGCGTGGCCTGCGCGGAGGGGGCGGGGGCCTGATGCTGTCGGCGCGGGGAGGCTGAGGGGGGCACAGTGGGGTCGTAGAGAGGGCGGGCCTCGTCGGGGAGGTGGGCGTGGCTCGGTGGGTGACGTCACTGCGAGATGGGGGCGTGGTCACCACGAGGGGGCGTGGTCCGATGGTGGGCGGGTCACCAAAAGGGGGCGTGGGCCTGTGGGGCTCGTGTCCCCCACGTGCCAGGGTGGGGGAGGGGTCTCTTTGGGGTGGGGAGGGTCTTTTGGGGTGGGGAGGGGTTTTTTGGGGGTGGGGCCTCCCGTGGGGGTTTCTTTCAGTGCAGGGGAGGGAATTCACAGGTCCCAGGTCAGAGGTCAAAGGTCACAGTGGGGAGGGGTCAGAGGTCACAGTGGGGGGTCAGAGGTCACCCGGGGGTCCCCGGTGGGGGTCCCCAGGGGGTCCTGGGGCCCTCAACCTCGTGCAGGACGGCTCCCGGCACAGGGCGACTGTGGGGGGGGGAGGAATTGAGGGGGTCCTGAGACCCCTGACCTCCCAGGAGAGACCCCCAGAAAGGGACCCCTGACTCCCCCAGGGAGAGACCCCAGAAAGGGACTCCTGAACCCCCCCAAATCCCTCCCCCAGACAGAGACCCCCTGGGTCTCCAGCCCCATCCCCAAATTCCTAGGGGTCCCATCCCAAAGTCTCCGACCCCATCCCCTGGGCTTCTGACCCCATCCCCAGGCTCGACCCCATCCCCACTTCCAGCCCCATCCCCAATTCCTAGGGGTCCCATCCCAAAATCTTGGGGGTCCCATCCCCAAATTCCTGGGGTCTCTGAGGGGTCCTAGGGCGCTCTCCCACCCCCAATCCCAACCCTCACCCCCACTCCTCATATCCCACCCCTAAGAGGGGTAAATGGGGATGGATGGGATGGGATGGGATGGGATTGATGGGATGGGATGGGATTGATGGGATGGGATGGGATGGATGGTGGGATGGGATTGATGGGATGGGATGTGATGGGATGGGATGATGGGATGGATGGGATGGGATGGATGGATGGGATGGGATTGATGGGATGGGATGGGATGGGATGGGATGGATTGATGGGATGGGATGGATGGGATGGGATGGGATTGATGGATGGGATGGGATGGGATTGATGGGATGGGATGGGATGGGATGGGATGGGATGGGATGGATGGGATGGGATGGGATGGGATGGGATGGATGGGATGGGATGGGATGGGATGGGATGGATGGGATGGGATGGGATGGGATGGGATGGTTGGGATGGGATGGGATGGGATGGGATGGGATGGGATGGGATGGATGGATGGGATGGGATGGGATGGGATGGGATGGGATGGTTGGGATGGGATGGGATGGGATGGGATGGGATGGGATGGGATGGGATGGGATGGGATGGGATGGGGTGGGATGGGATGGGATGGGGTGGGATGGGATGGGATGGGGTGGGATGGGATTGATGGGATGGGATTGATGGGATGGGATTGATGGGATGGGATGGGATGGGATGGGATGGTTGGGATGATTGGGATGGGATGGAACAATTGGGATGATTGGGATGATTGGGATGATTGGGATGGGATGGGCTGGAACAATTTGGAAGATTGGGATGATGATTGGGATGGGATGATTGGGATGGGATGATTGGGATGGGATGATTGGGATGGGATGGGATGATGGGATGGGATGTGGGATGGGATGATTGGGATGATTGGGATAGGATGATTGGGATGGATGGGATGGATGGGTTGGGCAGGATGAGATGGATGGGATGGGATGGGATGGGATGGGTTGGGATGAGATGATTGGGATGGTTGGGATGGGCTGATTGGGATGGGATGGGATGGGATGGGATGGATGATGGGATGGGATGGGATGGGATGATTGCGATGACTGGGATGGATGGGATGGGATGGGATGGGATGGGACGATTGGGATGGAATGATTGGGATGGGATGGGACGATTGGAATGACTGGGATGACTGGGATGGGATGGGATGATTGGGATGGGATGGAACAATTGGGATGGGTGGGATGGGATGGGATGGGATGATAGGATGGGATGGGATGATTGGGATGATTGGGATGATTGGGATGATGGGATTGGGATGGGATGATTGGGATGGGACGATTGGGATGGGATGATTGGGATGGCTGAGCTGAGCCGGGCGATCCCACAGGGGCATTTCCTGGTGCCAGCTCTGTGTGTGGGGGGTTCCTGGGGGGTTTTTTTAGGGTTTCTCCCCTCACCCTCGAGCAGCTGGGGCAGGAAATGAGCGGCTGCTTTGTCCTTGCGCACGCGGGGCCCGGCCATGGGGCGGCCGTGCCGGTCCAGCCCCAGGTACCACGCGCGGCCCGAGCGCCGCTGCCGGTACAGGGCTGAGGCGTAGAGAACGTGGTAGTTCTCGAACACACACTCCTTGAAGCGACATTCCGGGGTGAAATGGACCTGGGGGGGCACATGGGGGTCAATTGGGGGCACCCCAAACCCCCCCAAAGTCATAGAGACCCCCCAAGAGAACGTGGTGGTTCTCGAACACACACTCCTTGAAGCGACACTCCGGGGTGAAATGGACCTGGGGGGCACATGGGGGTCAATTGGGGACCCCCTGAAACCCCCCTGGGTCATGGGGACACCCTGGGACACCCCCAGAGTCACAGGGACCCCCCCCGAAGAGAACGTGGTAGTTCTCGAACACACACTCCTTGAAGCGACATTCTGGGGTGAAATGGACCTGGGGGGGCACATGGGGGTCACCTGGGGGCACCCCAAACCACAGGGACCCCCCTGGGTCATGGGGACACCCCTGGAATCACAGGGATCTACAGGGACCCCCCCAAGAGAACGTGGTAGTTCTCGAAAACACACTCCTTGAAGCGGCACTCTGGGGTGAAATGGACCTGGGGGGCACATGGGGGTCACCTGGGGGCACCTGAGACCCCCCCAGAGTCATAGAGAGCCCCCCAGAGTCATAGAGACCCCCCAAGAGAACGTGGTAGTTCTCGAAAACACACTCCTTGAAGCGACACTCCGGGGTGAAATGGACCTGGGGGGGCACATGGGGGTCAATTGGGGGCACCTGGGACCCCCTGAAACCCCTCTGGGTCATGGGGACACCCAGGGACCCCCCCAGAGTCACAGGGATCCATAAGGACACCCCAGGGACCCCCCAAGAGCACGTGGTAGTTCTCGAAAACACACTCCTTGAAGCGGCACTCCGGGGTGAAATGGACCTGGGGGGCACATGGGGGTCAATTGGGGGCACCCCAAATCAGAGGGACCCCCCAAAACCCTCCCTGAGTCATGGGGACACCCCAAGAGTCACAGGGATCTACAGGGACACCCCAGGGACCCCCCAAGAGCACGTGGTAGTTCTCGAAAACACACTCCTTGAAGCGGCACTCCGGGGTGAAATGGACCTGGGGGGGCACATGGGGGTCAATTGGGGGCACCTGAAACCCCCCCAGAGTCATAGAGAGCCCCCCAGAGTCACAGGGACCCCCCCAGAGTCACAGGGACCCCCCAAGAGAACATGGTGGTTCTCGAAAACACACTCCTTGAAGCGACACTCCAGGGTGAAATGGACCTGGGGGGGCACATGGGGGTCAATTGGGGGCACCCCAAACCACAGGGACCCCCCCAGAGTCATAGAGAGCCCCCCAGAGTCATAGAGACCCCCCAAGAGAACGTGGTAGTTCTCAAAAACACACTCCTTGAAGTGACACTCCGGGGTGAAATGGACCTGGGGGGGCACATGGGGGTCACCTGGGACCCCCCAAAATTCCCTGAAACCCCCCTGGGTCATAGAGACCACCCCCAGTCATGGGGACACCCTGGGACCCCCCAAGAGCACGTGGTAGTTCTCGAAAACACACTCCTTGAAGCGGCACTCCGGGGTGAAATGGACCTGGGGGGGCACATGGGGGTCAATTGGGACCCCCCAAACCCACAGGGACCCCCCAAAACCCTCCCCAAGTCATGGGGACCCCCTCAGTCACAGGGATCCATAAGGACACCCCAGGGACCCCCCAAGAGCACGTGGTGGTTCTCGAACACACACTCCTTGAAGAGACATTTTGGCATAAAATGGACCTGGGGGGGCACATGGGGGTCAATTGGGACCCCCAAACCACAGGGACCCCCCCAGAGTCATAGAGAGCCCCCCAGAGTCACAGGGACCCCCCTGGAATCACAGGGACACCCCAGGGACCCCCCAAGAGCATGTAGTAGTTCTCGAACTCGCACTCCTTGAAGTGACATTTTGGCATAAAATGGACCTGGGGGGGCACACGGGGGTCAATTGGGACCCCCCAAACCCACAGGGACCCCCCCAGATTCAAAGGGACCCCCCTGGAGTCGAAGGGACCCACAGGAATCCCCCCCAGAGCCCCAGGGAGAACCCCAGGCTCTGTTCTTGGGTTTTTTTTTTGGGGGGTGGGGGGGGGATTTTGGGATCCCTGGGGGCTTTTCAGGAAGGGGGTCTGAGCCGCGTTTTGGGGTTCCAGGGTGGGATTTTGGGGGTTCCAGGGTGGGAATTTTGGGGGGGGAAGGGTCACTCACGGACGTGTAGACGAGCCCGGCCCCCGTTCATGGCCACGTAACGCCCGGCTCGGGTGCCCTGGATGGCCACGACCCTCAACCCCACCGGGATCAGGTTAAACAGGGCTGGAATGGACACCAGTTCAGACCAGTTCAAACCAGTTCAAACCAGTAACTCCCCTCAGTTCAGCTCTAGCACAGCCCAGTTCGTCCCAGTTCATCCCAGTCACCCCTGGATGGCCACGACCCTCAGCCCCACCGGAATCAGGTTAAACAGGGCTGGAATGGACACCAGTTCAGACCAGTTCAAACCAGTTCAAACCAGTAACCCCCCCCAGTTCAGCCTAGCACAGCCCAGTTCGTCCCAGTTCATCCCAGTCACCCCTGGATGGCCACGACCCTCAGCCCCACCGGGATCAGGTTGAACAGGGCTGGAATGGACCCCAGTTCAGACCAGTTCAGACCAGTTCATCCCAATAACCTCCCCCAGTTCATCCCGGTTCATCCCAGTTCATTCCAGTATAGCCCAGTCACCCCTGGATGGCCACGACCCTCAGCCCCACCGGGATCAGGTTGAACAGGGCTGGAATGGATCCCAGTTCAGACCAGTTCAAACCAGTTCAAACCAGTTCAAACCAGTAACCCCCCCCAGTTCATCCCGGTTCATCCCAGTCCATCCCAGTTCAGCCCAGTCACCCCTGGATGGCCACGACCCTCAACCCCACCGGGATCAGGTTAAACAGGGCTGGAATGGGACCCCAGTTCAGACCAGTTCAAACCAGTTCAAACCAGTAACCCCCCCCAGTCCATCCCAGTCCATCCCAGTAACGCCTGGACGGCCATGACCTTTGACCCCCCGCGGGGAGCGGGTTCAGCGGAATGGGGGGAGGGGCTTGATGAGGCCACGCCCACTCTCATTTAGCCCCACCCCCTCTCCCAGACTCCGCCCCCCTCATCGAGGTCCCACCCCTTCCACACATGGCCACGCCCTTTTTTGATGTGCCACGCCCATCCTCAGACCACGCCCACTCTCCACAGGCCACTCCCCCTCCCTCTTAGCCCCACCCACTCACCACAAGCCACGCCCCCTCACCATTTAGCACCGCCCCGGCCCCGCCTCCCATTGGCCCTCCCACTCTGCCTGGCCCCGCCTCTCCTCAGACCCCACCCCTCCTTTCAAACCCCACCCACCCCCACTCAAGCCCCACCCACTCTTTGTCTGGCCCCGCCCACCCCGCTTAGGCCCCACCCTTCCCCTCATGCCCCGCCCATCTTTAAACCCCCGCCCTCATTTCCAGGCTCCGCCCCTCCCCATAGGCCCCTCCTCTTCTCAGCAGGCCCCGCCCTTCTCAGGAGCTCCTGCCCCTCAGTTCCAGGCCCCGCCCCTCAGTTCCAGGGCCCGCCCTCTCAGGAGGCCCCTCCCCTCACTCACAAGCCCCTCCTCCTCCCAGCAGCCCCTCGCCCCTCTCAGGAGGCCCCACCCTCTCTCAGAAGGCTCCGCCCCTCAGTTCAAGGCCCGCCTCCTCCCAAGAGGCCCCGCCCCTCAGTTCCAGGTCCCACTCCTCACTTCCAGGCCCTGCCTTCTCCCCATAGGCCCTCCTTCTCCCAGTAGGCCCCGCCCCTCTCAGGAGGCCCCACCCTCTCTCAGGAGGCCCCACCTCACTTCAGGCCCCGCCCCTCAGTCTCCAGACCCCACCCCCTCTAAGCAGGCCCCACCCCCAGTCCCAGGCCCCACCCCTCCCAGTAGGCCCCACCCCCTCTCAGGAGGCCCCGCCCCATCTCAGGAGGCCCCGCCTCCCATCAGGCCCTGCCCCTCTCATGAGGCCCCTCCTCACTTCCAGGCCCCACCTCCTCCCAGCAGGCTCCGCCCCTCAGGAGCCCCCGCCCCCTACTTACAGGCCCCGCCCTCACTTCGAGGCCCCACTCTCCTCAGGAGGCCCCGCCCCTCACTCCAGGTCCCGCCCTCCCCATAGGCCCCTCCTCCTTTCAGCAGGCCCCGCCCCCATTTCCAGGCCCCACCTCCTCCCAGTAGGCCCCACCCCTCCATTCCAGGCCACACCTCCTCCCAGGAGGCCTCGCCCCACTTACAGACCCCACCCCCTCACTTCTAGGCCCCACCCCTCCCAGCAGACCTCGCCCCTCACTTCCAGGCCCCTCCTCCTCCCAGCAGGCCCCACTCCCTCTCAGGAGGGCCCACCCTCACTTCCAGGCCCGCCGCCTCACCTCGAGGCCCTGCCCCTCCTCATAGGCCCCTCCTCCTCCATGTAGGCCCCGCCCTCTCAGGAGGCCCCGCCCTCACTTCTAGGCCCTGCCCCTCCCAGCAGACTCCCGCCCATCACTTCCAGGCCCCGCCCTCCCAGCAGGTCCCGCCTCACTCCCAGGCCCCGCCCTCACTTCCAGACCCGCCTTCTCCCATGAGGCCCCAGCCCCTCACTCTGCAGGCCCTGCCCCTCAGTTCAGGCCCCGCCTCTCCCAGCAGGCCCGCGCCCTCCCAGCAGGTCCCGCCTCCCCATAGGCCCCGCTCCTCCCAGTAGGCCCCACCCCCATTCCAGGCCACGCCTCCTCCCAGCAGACTCCCGCCTCCTCCCAGCAGGCCCCGCCCTCTCACTTCCCAGCCCCGCCCCTCACTCCCAGGCCCCCGCCTCACTTCCAGGCCCCCGCCCTCACTTCCAGGCCCCGCCTCCTCCCAGGTGCCGCCGAGGCGCCCGCCGGGTCCCATGTGCAGGAAGTGGCCGTGACCCCGGAGCCGAGCGATGGCCCCGCGGAGCTGCGGCTCTGCCGGGGAGGGGGTCAGGGCTCTGGGATCACAAAACAACCCCAAAACACCCCCAAAACACCCCTAAAAACCTTCAAAATCCCCCCAAAACTTCCCCCAAAACACCCCCAAAACTTCCCCAAAACACGCCCCAAAACTTCCTCAAAACACCCCAAAACACCCCACAAAACACCATCCAAAACTCCCCCAAACACCCCCCAAATCACCCCCAAATTACCCCCAAAACACCCCCCAAACCCCACCCAAATCACCCTCAAAGCACCCTCCAAAATCCCCAGAAATGCCCCGAATCTCCCCAAAACCCCCAAACACTCCCCAAAACCCACCCAAAACAGCCCCAATACCCCTAAAAACCCTCCAAAATCCCCTCTGAAATCCCCCAAACAACCCCAAAACCCACCCAAATCACCCCATAACCTCCCCAAATCTCCCCCAAATCCCCCCACAATCCCCCAAATCCCTCATAACCCCCCATAATCCCCAAATCCCCCATAACCCCCCCAAATCCCCAAATTTCCTCATAACCCCCATAAACTCCCCACAACCCCCCAAATTCCTCCATAACCCCTCAAATCCCCCCATAACCCCCAAATCCCCCATAACCTCCCTTAAACTCCCCATAACTCCCCATAACCCCCAAACCCCCATAACTCCTCCCCAAATCCCCTCAAATCCCTCAAATCTCCCCATAACCCCCCCAAATCCCTCATAACCCTCCCATAACCCCCCCAAATCCACCCATAACTCCTCCTTAAGCCCCCCCAAATCCCTCATAGCTCCCTCATTACCTCCAAATCCCTCATAACCCCCCCAAATCCTCATAACCCCTCATAACTCCCCCAAATCCACCCATAACCCCCACAAATCCTCTCATAGCCCCCATAACCCCCCATAACAGCCCCAAACCCCCATAACCCCCCAAATCCTTCATAGCCCCCCCATAACTCCCCCATAACCTCTCAAATCCTCTCCATAATCCCCCAAATTCCCTCATAACCCTCCCAAATCCCTCATAGTCCCCCATAAGCCCCTCAAATCTTCAAACCCTCATAACCTCCCATAAACCTCTCATAACCCCCAAATCCCCCATAAACTCCTCATAACCTCCAAATCCTCATAGCCCTCCATAACTTCCCCATAACCCTCCCAACTCCCATAACCCCCAAATCCTCTCATAACCCTCTCAAATCTCCATAACCCTAAATCCTCTATAACCCCCTCATAAACTCCCCATAACCCCCTCATAACCCTCCAAATCCTCATAACCCTCCATAACCCCCCCAACTCCCCATAACCCTCCTAAATCCCCCCATAACCCCCCCCAAATCCTCTCATAACCTCCTAGTAGCTTCCTCTCAAACCTCATTTATCTCCTCAAACCCTCTCATAACCTTCAAACCCCCATAACACCTCTCAACCCCCCATAACCTTCCCATACCCTCCCAAATCCTCATAGCCCTCAAACTCCCTCATAAACTCCCCAAATTCACACAAAACCCTCTCATACCCCCAAATCCTCCCTCACCGGGGGCTGCGCGGGGTCTCCTCCTGCGCCGCACCCCCGGACTTTGGCCACGAGCCCTTGGAGCTGCTGCTGGCACAGGAGGGGGGCGGGGGCGCTGGGGGCGCGAGGCCCTGCGGGACGGGGAGGGGCGCGCCTGCCTCCCCCGGCGCTGCCGGATCAGCGAGCTGGCCAAGGCTGCCATGGGGGAGGGGGATGGAGGGGCTTTGGGGGTACTGAAAGGGGCTTGGGGGCCTGGAGGGGGTTTGGGGGATTTGGGGATGGAGGGATTTGGGGTCCTGGAGGGGGTTGGGGGTTTGGGGAAAGTTGGGGGCTCTGGAGGGGAGTTGGGGGATTTGGGGAGAGTTGGGGGTCCTGGAGGGGTTTTAATGGGGTCTGGAGGGGGTTTGGGGGACTGAGGAGAGTTGGGGGTCCTGGAGGGGGTCTGGGGTTTAGGGGTCTGGGGAGAGTTGGGGGATTTGGGGAGATTTGGGGGCCTGGAGAGGATTGCGGGTTCTGGGGGGTCCTGATGGGGTTTGGGGGTCCTGGAGGGGCTTTGGGGAATCTAGGGGAGTTGGGGGTCCTAGAGGGGCTTTAGGGGATTTGGGAGGTCCTGGGGTGGTTTGGGGGATTTGGGGGTTCTGGGAGAGTTGGGGGCCTAGAGGGGCTTAAGGGCCTGAGGGGGCAGGGCCTGGGGATTGGGGGTCCTGGGGATGGGAGTTCTGAGGGGTTTTGGAGTCCTGAGAGAGTTTGAGGGTCCTGGAGGGGTTTGGGGGTCCTGGGAAGGAGTTGGGTGGTCCTAGAGGGGGTTTGGAGGGTCCTGAGGATTTGGGGTTCTGGGCTTGAGGATTGGGGGTCCTGGAGGTGTTTTGGGGGTCCTGGGGGGGTTAAGGGGCAGGGGGTTCTGAGGGGTCACGGGGGTTCCCGGTTTTGGGGGTCTGAGGGGCAGGGGCTGGGGGGTCAGAAGGGGCGTCACAGGGGTTTGTGGGGAGGGGGTCACCGTGGGGAGGGGTCAGGGGGTCACCGGGGGTGGGGCTTGGGGTCACGAAAATTTGGGGGAGGGGGTGTCACGTGACTCGGCGCGAGGCCCCGGGGGTGGGGTGAGGTCCCTGCTCCTCCCTCCCCACCTGAGGAGAGCCTGATCGCGGGGGAGGGGGAGGGGTGGGGGTCTCCGCGAGGTGGGGAGGGGCGAATGTGGGGAGGGGCCAAGGAGGGGTTCCCGCCGGGGGAGGGGCGGAGGGGCCCCCTCTCTCTCGGGGTGGGGAGGGGCCGGTCAGGGGGCTTCCTGCGAGGTGGGGAGGGGCGGGGGTCCCATGAGTGGGGGAGGGGCCTGAGGGGGGGTCCCTGCTATTGAGGGTGGGGGAGGGGCGGATTGGGGGAGGGGGAAGATTTCCCGCGAATTGGGGAGGGGCCCGGAGGGGTGGGGGGAGGGTCCTCTCTCCGTCTCCCGGTGGGGGAGGGGCGGGGTCCCTGTCTCGGTGGGGAGGGGCGGGGGTCTCTGCGGCGCCTGGGGTCCTGCCGAGCGGGGAGGGGCCGGCGCTGGGCTGGGATTTTAAGGGGGGAGGGGGAGGGGAGGGGCTGGAGGTTGGGGGAGGGGAGAGGGGGAAGGGGAGGGGCGGGAGGGGTCTGCGCGCACGCGGGGCTCGCGCAGGCGCAGTGGGGTGGGGGAGGGGCCTGGGGGAAAGCCACGCCCATTCCCAGCATCCCCCGCGGCGGGGACGTGACGGGGAGGACCAGTTGGGACCAGTACGGACCAGTTGGGACCAGTACGGAGCAGGTTCGGACCGGCAGGGACCGGGGCCTCCCAGTATGGACCAGTATGGATCAGAGCTTCCCAGTATGGACGGGTAGGGACCAGAGCATCCCAGTATGGATGGGCACAGCCCAGTGCATCCCAGTATGGACCAGTATGGCTCAGAGCTTCCCAGTATGGACCAGTATGGCTCAGAGCTTCCCAGTATGGACCAGTATGGCTCAGAGCTTCCCAGTATGGACGGGCACAGCCCAGTGCATCCCAGTACGGACCAGTATGGACCAGTATGGCTCAGAGCTTCCCAGTATGGATGGGCACAGCCCAGTGCATCCCAGTATGGACCAGTATGGACCAGTATGGCTCAGAGCTTCCCAGTATGGATGGGCACAGCCCAGTTCATCCCAGTACAGACCAGTATGGACCAGGGCATCTGAGAGCATCCCAGTCCAAACCAGGGCATCCCAGTTCATCCCAGTCCAAACCAGTTCATCCCAGTACGAAGCAGGGCATCCCAGTACGGCCCAGTACAGCCCAGTTCATCCCAGTATGAAGCAGGGCATCCCAGTACAGCCCAGTACAGCCCAGTTCATCCCAGTATGGCCCATTGCATCCCAGTATGGCCCAGTGCATCCCAGTGCAATCCCAGGGCAGCCCAGTCCATCCGGGCTCATCCCAGTCCATCCCAGTTCCACCCCAATCCCTCCCAGTCCATCCCAGTTCTCTCCCAGTCCTTCCCAGTCCATCCCAGTTCTCTCTCAGTCCCTCCCAGTCTCCCCAATCCCCTCCCAGTCCATCCCAGTTCCACCCCACTCCCTCCCAGTCCATCCCAGTTCCACCCCAATCCATCCCAGTCCCTCCCAGTCCATCCCAGTTCTCTCCCAGTCCCTCCCAGTCCATCCCCAGCGCCCCCTCCCGCCCAGCCCATGGCATGACGTCATTAGGCGGAGGGGGCGTGGCCTCTCTGTTTCCATGGCGACCCCCTGTGCTCTCTGGCGCCCCCCGGCGGCGGCGCCACAAAATTCGCTTTTTTGGGGAAAATTTTTGTTGTTTTTTTTTTTTGTTTTTTTTTTTCTTCCTTTTTTCTCCTTTTTTTTTCCTCTTTTCTTAAAAACACCCGCAGGGCCGCCCCTCCCCCGCCCCTCCCCCGCCCCCCTGCGCCCCCGGGAATAAAAATAGATGCTCTCAGGTGGGGGGAGGGGCGAGGAGGAGTCGCGGGGGGAGGGGCCGTCACCATGGCAACCGGGGACATCGATTGACGTCACCATGGCAACCGGTGACGTCACCATGGCAACCGAGGGGCGACACGGAGGGGGGACCCGGAGGGGTTGCCGTGGCAACCGGGGAGATCCCTCCCCCCTCCCCAAATGGTGACGTCATCAGGGTGATGTCACGTTTCCATAGCAACTGGTGACATCATAGGGGGGGACACTGCTGTGGTACCCGAGGGGGTCTCCATGGCAACCGGTGATGTCACTACGGCAACCAGTGATGTCACTACGGCAACCAGTGATGTCTCCATGGCAACCAGAGATGTCACCATGGCAACCAGTGACGTCACCACGGCAACCAGTGATGTCACCATGGCAACCAGTGATGTATCCATGGCAACCGGTGATGTCACCATCGCAACTGGTGACGTCACTACGGCAACCAGTGACGTCATCACGGCAACCAGTGATGTCACCATGGTAACCGGTGATGTCTCCATGGCAACCGGTGATGTCTCCATGGCAACCGGTGATGTCTCCATGGCAACCAGTGACGTCACGGGGGGACACTGCCGTGGGACCCAGATGCGTTGCCATGGCAACCAGGGGCATCACCATGGCAACCAGTGATGTCACCACAGCAACCGGTGATGTCTCCATGGCAACCAATGACGTCACCCTGGCAACCAATGACGTCACAGGGGTGACCTCCCTGGGGCACCCCGGAAGCGTCTCCATGGCAACCGGTGACGTCACAGTGACCCCTCCCCCCCACGGTCGCCATGGCAACGCTCTCAGGGGGTCAAAGGTCGTAGCCTCCGAGGGGGGGAGGAGCGGGGGAGGGGCCGGGAGGAGGGGCCAGGGAGGGGCCAGGGGAGGGCAGGAGGGACCCCCAGCGTTTGGCACAAATTTCTTTGTACAGAAAGCGCAAAAGAACCGAAAGAGGGGGAGGGGGAGGGGGAGCAGGGTGGGGAGGGGCGGGGAGGAGACGCTGCCCCTCCCCTCCTTTCCCAAACCCCGGTTTGCCTCTTTTGGGGGTTTGCCTCTTTTGGGGTTTTGCTTCATTTTGGGGGTTATGCCTCGATTTGGGGGTTTGCCTCATGCAACGGTGACGGGGAGAGGGGACCCCCAAATCCCCCCAGGTCTCCAAACCCCTCCCCTCCCCGAGTGTCTTCAGGGGGGCTGGGGGGCCCAGGGGTGGGGAGGGCGTGACACCCCCTTTCCCGCCCCCAAATCGCTCAGGGGGTGACCTGGGTGTCCTGCGAGGGGAGGGCGGCTTCCCATGCGCCGGGGGGTCCCTGAGGTTGGGAGGGGGTGGTCCCCGAGTTCAGAAAGGGAAGGAGGGGGTCCCCAGGGTGGGGAGGGGTCCCCATGCGTCTCAGCACCCCTACGTGTCCATGGGGGTGGGGAGAGGGAATTGGGGGTTCCCCACAGTCTTCAGTGGAACCGGGTGGGGGGACCCCCAATTTGGAGTGCAGGGGGGTCCCTTGGGTGGGGGTTCCCTGATGGGGGGGCCCAAACAGGGGATTCCCTATTGGGGGTTCCCTATTGGGGGTCCTCTATTGGGGGTTCCCCTTTGGGGGTTCCCTATTGGGAGTCCTCTATTGGGGTTCCCCTTTGGGGTGTTCCCCTTCTGGGGGTTCCCCTATTGAGGGGGTCCCCTATTGGGAGTTCCCCTATTGGAGGTTCCTTTGGGGGTTTCCCTATTGGGGGTTCCCCAAACCGGGGGTTCCCTATTGGGGATCCCCTATTGAGGGGTTCCCCAAACTGGGGGTCTCCTATTGGGGGTTCCCTGATGGGGAGTTCCCCTTTGGGGGTTCCCCTATTGGGGTTCCCCTATTGGGGTTCCCTGTTGGAGGGTCCCCTATTGGGGGTTCCCCATGGGGGTCCCCTATTGGGGATTCCCTTGGGGGGTTCCCACTGGGGGTTCCTCTACTGGGGTTCCCTATTGGGAGTTCCCTTGAGGGGGCCCCAAACCTGGGGGTCCCCTGTTGGGGGTTCCCCTCTTGGGGGTTCCCCTTTGGGGGTTCCCCTATTGGGGAGGTCCCCAAACCGGGGGTCCCCTATTGGGGGTCCCCTATTGGGGGGTCCCCTATTGGGAGGTTCCCTTCTGAGGAGGGGTCCCCTTGGGGGTGGTGGTGGGGTGGGGGTGTTGTCTCCCTTCTGGGTGTGCACACAGGGGACCCCCAAAAAGTCCATTTGTTGGGGGGTGTTTCAGGGGGTGGGGGAGGGCTCCCGAGCCGC